AGGACTTTGAACATAAATGCATGCTGAATTTTGTCAAAAGCCTTTTTTTCAACCTTTGAGATGACAAAGTGGTTTTTATCTTTAAGTCCATTTATATGAGTAATGACGATTATTGACTTGCATATATTGAAACATCCCTGCATCCCTGGAATAAAGCCTACTTGATCATGGTGAATGATCTTTTTGATGTTCATCTGTGTGCTTTTTGCAAGTATTTTGTTGAGAATTTTTGCATGTATATTCATTAAGCAACCTTTGAGATGACAAAGTGGTTTTTATCTTTAAGTCCATTTATATGAGTAATGACGATTATTGACTTGCATATATTGAAACATCCCTGCATCCCTGGAATAAAGCCTACTTGATCATGGTGAATGATCTTTTTGATGTTCATCTGTGTGCTTTTTGCAAGTATTTTGTTGAGAATTTTTGCATGTATATTCATTAAGGATATGGGTCTATAGTGTTCTTTGTTGGTTGTGTCTTTACCCGCTTTGGGTAGTAGAGTGATTCTGACTTCATAGAAGGAATGTGGGAGTTCTCACTCTACTTCTATCATTTTGAATAATTTTAGTAGTATTGGCTGGAGGTCTTCTTTAAATGTTTGGTAGAATTCTGCTTTAAATCCAATTGGGCCTGGACTTTTTTTAGTTGGGAGGGTTCGTATTACTGTTTCAATTTCCTTATATGTTATGGGTCTGTTTAAACTGTTGATCTCTTCTTGGTTTAAATTTCATGGTTACCATGATTTTAGATATCCACCCATTTCTTTTAGATTTTCAAATTTAGTAGTGTATAGAGTTTTAAATTATTCCCTTATAATAGTCTGAATCTTTTAGGTGTCTGTTGTGATGTTTCCTCTTTCATCTCTGATTTTGTTGATTTGGATTTACTCTTTATTTCTTTTTGTTAACTGGGCTAATGGTCTGTCTATCTTGTTTAGCCGTTCAAAGTACCAGTTCTTAGATTCATTGATTCTTTGTATTGTTTTCTTTGTTTCCATTTCATTACTTCCTGCTGTGATTTTTATTTCTTCTCTTCTGTTGGGTTTGGGTTTCATTTGTTCTTGCCTTTCCAGCATCTTGAGTTGCAGTGTTAGGTCACTTATTTAGGCTTTTTCTCATTTTTTAATGTAGGCACTTAGAGCTATTAACTTCCCTCTTAGGACTGGTTTTTTAGGACTTGTGTTGTATTGTTCTCTTTGTTGAATTCCAGGCATTCTTTTAGTTCTTTCTTAAGGCTACATAACAAGCAACAATGCCAGACAGGCGATACCTTCTTTTGAGTTGTTGGACAGGGTGGCCAAAGGGATTCCCAGATAGTAACCCAGCATAGAACTGGGAAATTGAACAGCAGACCCCAATCTTATCCAAAGGAATATTGACAACTGATTGCTACTAGATGAGGAACAGCTGACCTTCTTAAAACAAAGACCTCTAGATAAGCTGTAGATTCACCAGAAGGGCAAGCAGTGGGGAATGGCTGGGGGTGCTGACAACACAGCAGACAGTAGCAGGGATATCAGAGTATAAGGGCTCTAGTAGGGGGAGGGAGGCTATGGGAGGGTGCTACCTGGGAAGTGGGTTTATAAATAAATTTAAAAAAATCTTCAAAGTATAAAAATTTGCTCCTTAATAATTAGTAGATGTGAAAAACATTACCATTGAAATCTACCTGATGACTTTACGTCCATGCTCAAATGCCAAGGAGCTCAAAAAGTAACTGACTGTGACTAGTAACAATCAGATATATAGAGATTAGAAATGTATGTGCATCTTAGTGTCATTGTATTAAAAATGATTTTTTCTTTATGAAACTGTGTATTTTAATAATGAAATGGAGACCTTTTTTAAAGTTTAAAACCTCACTTAATTTTATGTCTTATACGGTTTATATGGAGTACAATATTGTATAACTGCATTAATTCAACTGTAAATCTAAAAATTTATAGCCAATTTTGAAAGAGACTTATCTTAGCTCTGGAAATTGTTATTGAATATGTCAATGCTGTTGTAATGGAATGCCTCTTCTAATTATGTGGTTATTAAATAAATAATTAAAAAAAGAAACAATGAACCTGAAACAAACAAAACAAGATTCTGATGCATTTCTGCATTAAGTTGAGTTAGGAGATAGAATACGCAATTTGGAGAGAATTTTGGGGCTCCTTTTGAATTGGGAGCTTCTGGGTCATGTAAGAGTAAATCATCTTTAAATCTCATCTGCTATGATCTGATCATGCTTCCCCCAAATCCATATGCTGAAATTTAACAATATTTGTGGCAGTATTATGTGGTAGGACCCTTAGGTGATAATTAAGACATGAGCACTTATCAATTGGATTAATGACCTTGTATGAGAAGTGAGAGGCAAGTCATCTCCTTTTGTCTTAGGACGTGATAGCACAGTTAGAAGACACTGGATCTGCTGCTGCTTCAGTCTTGGATTGTAGATCATGAAAAAATGCAGTGATTACTCATTTATTTACTTATTTATTTTGTGCATGTATATGTGTGTAGTGAGTGTGCATTTGTGTGTACGCATGTTGCATGTGGGTGCACATGCACGTGTGTGTTTATAAAGGACAGAGGTTGACATTGCAGGGTCTGCTCTATTACTCTCGAACTTTTTATGTTTGTTTGTTTTTCAGACAGGGTCTCTCACTGATCCCAGAGCTCACTGATTGGCTAAACTAGCTGGCTAATACACTCTGGGGATCTACTTGCCCCCACCTCACCCCAGTGCTAGGGTTAAGGATGCATGCCACTGTTCCTGGCTTTTACATGGGTGCTGGGGATCTGAACTAAGGTCCTTATTCTTGTATGGTAGGCATGCACTGACTGAGCCATTTCCCAAGATTTTTGTTCTTTATAAATACCCAGTTGAAGAAGGTATTTTATTATAGAGGCAGGAACAAACTAGTATGGTTTCCAAAATTCCATTTTTCAGCACCAGATTCCATGGTCCTAAGGTAGATATAAAACCAAATAAAAGCGAATTATGATAGATCAATGTACTTTTCAAATTTATTTAGCAGACCTCAGACATTTTTGTTTATAAAGGGAAAACTTGTAGCCATTGCTTTTCTTTGGAAATGTGGATCTGGATTATTATAATCTAAAATTGTATTTTATCTATTAAGAGGATGCTAAAATATTTTGCTCTACAATGATAACAATTAGATACCAAAATGAGTTGATAAAATACATATTTTCAAAGTAGGTGTCCACAATTAATAGAGATTAAAGACCTAAGAGAGTTGACAGTGCAGAGTGAGAATCACCTTTTCCTATAAGGAGCCAGGGAGAAAATATTTTAGGTTGTGCAGCCCAGGTGGTCTCTGTTGCAGTTACTCAACTCTGTGCAGCTGAAGAAACAATTTGAAAAATAAATTCAGGGAAAAGACTTGCTTTGGCCTGTAGGCTATAGTTTGCCAATGACTGTCATCAAAGAAGTAAGAGTTTATAAAGAGGTTCTTTAAAAGATATTATTATTGGAGATGGAGAGATGGCTTGGAGGTTAAGAACACTAGCTGCTCTTACAGAGGACCTGGTTCAGTTCCCAGCATCCACATGGAAGCCAACAAAAGTTCATAACTCCAATTCCAGGGGACCCGATGGATGCTTTCTTCTGGCATCCACGAGTATTTCATGCATGTAGTGCACTTGCATACATGCAGGCAAAATACTCATATACATAAAAACAAAAATAAATAAATGAATTTAAAAATGTTATTAAGCTGGATGTGGTAGCACACACCTTTAATCCCAACACTTGGGAGGCAGAGGCAGGCAGATCTCCAAGAGTTCAAGGCCAGCCTGGTCTACATAGTATTTTTTTAAAAAAAAAAAAAAAAAAAAAAAAAAAAAAAAAAAAAAATCTAAAAACAATTATTATTGCAGAGCAAGGGATTGAACCTAGGGCCTTGTAAATGTCAGATAAGTGATTTATCACTGTGCTATGTCCCCAGCCCCCATATCACTTATTTTAGTGATGGGGATTGAACCAAGAGCCTCAAGCATGCTAAGTGGGAACTGTAGACTGAGCTGCACCCCCAATCCCATATGAACGAGGTTCTTTTGGAGAATGTTCCTCAGCCCACAAAGGAACCTAGGCAGAGGACACATTCAGGAGGCCTCTTTAGAGAGCTTGACTATGCCACCTTGAATTTCCCAGGCATGTGGTTATTCATGATAACAAGACTGGTAATCTCCTGCACTTCCTCCCAATGGTGAAACAAGCACCTGTGTTTGCTGTGTATGAAAGGTGGGTCATGGATACTGAGCTCAGAAGACTCACCCAGGAAGCTGGGACTCTAGGAAGGATGATTTCGTGTAGGTGGACCGAAAACATGGCCAGAATGGAGGTGGCTCAGGGAAAAATGATTGGACACTACAACTTCTAATTTAAGACTGTGTTTAGACAGAGGGATTAGATTATTTTGAAAATATTACCAATGAGAAGTGAAATAAATCAGTCTCAGAAAGACAAATAGTCCACTTTCTCACTTAAATGTGGAATTTAAGAAACCTAACTCACAAGGAGAACAATGGTGGTTTCCTAGGACACAGCACAAAAAGTATATGGTGGTTACCAGGGGAATGTTGGGAGATGAAGTGATGTTGGTTAAGGCGTATGTTTCAGTTAGACAGTAGGAATACATTCTAGAAACCTATTATACAGTACGGTGACAGTAGTTAATAATATAGTAGTATACTCTTGAAAATCACTAACAGATTCTTAAATGTTCTTACCACAAAACACATTTGTGAAGCAATGAGTATGCTCATCAGCTTAATTCCACCATTTTATAATGTATACATATTTCAAAACATCACACGGATAGCATACATTTCTAGAACTTTCATGTATCAGTTAAAAGTAAAAAAAAAAAAAGTAGAGAATGAACTGGTAAGTCATGGAATTAAGTTTCATGCAGGAGCAAAGGGAAAAATTCCCTCAGCAAAAGATTCTTGGGAGACCAGGAAGACAAAAACAAATTACATGTTTTGGTTTGATTTTATTTTGCAGTGGTTTTTTAAAACATTTTTTGAAAACATATCCATACAAGCCTTGCTTTTTCTCCACTACCCCTCATGCCTCTCACATTGAACTACTTTACAGCAAATCCTAGATCCTATGACTTATTCACAAATACTTGATAACACATCTCTGAAATAGCAAAAATTATGTAAAACATAATTATAGTATCATTATCTCACCTAACAAATCATCAGTAATATTCTAATACCCTCAAATTTGTAGCCTGTGTTCATACATTTGATGGCATAGTAATTTATTTTAGATTTGTTCATATCAGAACCCAAAGTCTATGTGTTGCATTTAGTTGGCCACTCTCCAAATCTTCTATAATTTTTAGATTCCCCCTTTCTTTTTGATCTTTTACAATTCCTTTCTTTTACTTCTTTCCTTTTTGGTTGAGAGAACAGGTTGTTTGAGCTGTGATTTTCTGTATGCTGGATATTGCCAATTGCTTCTTTGTGCTAGTGTTTACAGGATCCTTGAGTTTTTGTGTTTCTTTAAAGTGGTAAGCTCCAAAGGCTGGATCAAAATTGACTTTATTTGGCAAGAATATCTCATGGGTAGTGCAGGTACTTCTATAATACACCAGCCCCATAATATTAGGTTCTTTGTGATGTTTATACTGATCATGATTTAGGACCATCTGATTTGTCTGTTGAAAATGTGTTTCTTTAAATCAGCTTCCCAATGAATAGTTTTGGTAGCAATTGATGACATCAATGATTTTACTAGACGTAATCACTAGGGCGATTACTTTTTACCAGTTGTGTTTGTACAATGCATGAGTTATGTGGACATTTTGCCAGTATGCTGGAATTCCCTGGTTGGAGGATTCCTAAGATTTTTGACAAGTCTTTTAAAATTGAACAGCCTTTGGGGTTTGGTGTATTTTCTATTTGTCTGTTTGGAGGGGGAGGGTTGTAATCTCATTCACTATAGAGATAAATTTCACACATTCTTAGCTGTCTCCAATGTATGAAGAGGCATTCTAACTCTCCAGCTACTTTGGTAAGATATGCTGACCTTTGAAGAATTGCTTGGTCCTCTGTTTTGGAAAACTCCAGAGGGTCAAACATATGACATATTTACAGTCTTTTTGGTCAGAATACCTGTTGTTTCCATATTTGAGTTCCTTTTTCCTCATATAGACCTGTAACCCAAACTATTTTTTCTATTATAAAAACTTTCACATGAGAAGAAGGAGAGAACTGTCGTTAGTCTGTGCCTTGTCAGGGTAACTGAGGGTGAGTGGTAGGATTCTGTGTGGCTGATTTTGTGCATCTTTCCTAATTCTGTTCGAAGCTCCTTATATTTTGTCCATGGTGGTGTTATCAAGGAAGAAATTTTGTAGTTTTCTAGATCTCTCCTCCCTTCTTTATCCTAATTCCTATAGGACTCATATTATGCTTATTATAAGAAGAAATTAAACAATTAAATGTGCTTTTATAGAATTGAAAGACTAAGTCTGTATCTATAAGTTTACTAAACAAAGTGATACTGGGACAATATTTCTAGATGGAGAAGCTCAGCTCTTAAACAATTTTAATGTCATAAGCAAGTGGGCCTCCAATGGAAAATCCTAGATAAAAAGACACCTTTTCTATGCTTCTTCCACTTCTAAGTTGACCGAAGTGAGTGGGTGTGATGGGTATTGTGATTTTTTCATTGATTCCATATTCTGCATATAAATAATTATTTTCAGCTCGTCCCTGTAAACGAGCCAGAAGTTCTGGGACTATTGGCTCTTCCCACACTTTCCCACTATGCCACCAAGAATTAATATCAGATACCCTTTCAAAATGTTGATCAATTTTTCCTTTGTGAACAAGTCTGTTCCTATTACCTTTTCCAAGAAAGAAATATGCAATTGGCTGCTTTGTACGATACATGCGTTTATATTGCCTCCTGAAAGAATTTTCCAATGCTCGAACATACTTTTCCATTTGCTTAGAATCTTGATCTAGTTGTTGGTTTTCTGGCCAGAATAAGAGAGAAGCTAGGAAATAAGGTTCTGAAAACTGGTAAGTCAGTCCCACTGATTGCAAGATTTCTCGAAGCTGATCTTTCAGTTTTTTCATTGGCTTCACTAATCTGGAGGTAGGTTTAATACAAGAGAGGATGATGTTAGCTAAGATGAAATTTTGCTTTTCCTTTTGCTGAATTTTGACAGTGTTTTGCTCAGACAGGAAAGTGTATTTGTCTACTATATCTTCCATGGGGCCCACAGCATCTTCTTGACTTCTGATAAGATATTCTAAGAGCCCAGAAAACTTGTCTGCTTTCATAGCTTCAAGGCTTCTCCGTATCCCCTCTACCAGAAGTGGCTGACTGAGCTTTGATTCAAGATTCAGACTTTTTGATTTTTCTAAGGGACCAAATATTTCTACATATTTCTTAAAGTATCCAGCCACCTTTCTCCGACTTTTGGCTTCTTCATATTGTTTTATGTTGTTCCTGGGTTTTAGAAGGACAAAGTAATCATCAAAAAAATCAAAGCACTCTTTCAAGCAAGACTGCAGTTTAGTTAAATAAGGAATAAAATTCTTGAGGACTAAATTAAATTTGTTTGTATTCCCTGGAATATCACAACTTCCTGATATGAAATTGACCATATCTCGTTTTGATAGTTCATTTTTATTGTCAAAAAAAGGAATGAGTTGGAGAATCTGGATTGTGTAGAGCCCGACTTCTATCTCCCCTTGATAGCCAGCTATGTTGTAAGTATCGTACCTCCTTTTTGACTTCTGATTCAGCCATTCCTTTCCTTCATATTCTCTATCTTCAGTTTGCTGCTGAGATTCTTTGAATGCTTTTGCAGCATGTACTGCTGAATTCAAAAGATCAGTTAGGTCATCAACCGAAATCGTTCTGTTTCTTGCATTGTCATCTATCCACCATCTTATTTTACTTTTGTAGACTTGTCCCAGTGTATCTGATATATAAGAATTATCAGGCTCTATCTGCCTAGCTTGTTTTGCCCAAATTAGAGCATTGTTAAAGTCCTTTTCTTTAAGGTAGAAATGTCTCGCCAAGGCTTGGCAAATGAATGCGTTGCGGTTGAACTGATGAATAGCCTCAAGCAGTACAGCTTTGACTGCATCATTTCCTTCATCTTTATGTAAAGCTTCAATGAATGGGGAGAACCAGTTTCCTTTCTCACCTTCATGTTCATTTCTCTGTCTTATAAGCAGCAGTGTTTGAATATCTTGGAAAAATTTGCTTTTTCCCATACCAGTATCATAGAACAAAGTTTCTGTTAGCATACCCAGCATAATTTGACTTTTATCCAAGTTATAGCTTTTCTTCAGTTCTTCCAGTGAGAGAATTGCAATCAAAGGGTGAATGATGCGCACTCCAGAGTAGGTCCCACATTCAACCACCTCTGTTTTTATTAGAATTGTAGAGTAGGTACCCATCTTGTCTTCAAATTTTTCTGTTCCCCAGAAAGCCTTCTTGTTTGAGATTCCTAGGAACTTCTCACACTGTGAGAGGGAAATGGTAGTGTCAGGCACATATGAATTCAGAAGAGCCAGAAAAGAAAAGAGCTTTGCTTCTTTGGTGGTGATATTTTGCCCTTTCAGAATGTTCCTGACCACATTTTCTATGTACTCTTCATTAAAGTTGGTTTTCATGATCATAAAGGAATAAAAGTCTTCAAAGTTTTTGTGTTGTTCTTTGATTTCTTTCAATTTAAGCTCAAAAGCTCTCTGTTCTTTAGGGGACAGCTGCTGTACTAGAGCAACACTGTCTGGGATCTTTGCACTTTTTTCAGGATTTTGTGATCTTGTGCAATTTAGGATGATCACTAGTGGCTTCTCATATTGAATGTATTTATTAGCTACAGCTGTTTGAATGGAGGTCTGCAGAAGATAGACATTATCTTGTTCTTCAAAATCATCCACAAGTAGCAGAACGGGCAAGTATTCCTGATGGTTTGCTGCTCCATAGGTGATTAAATTCGTCACCTGTTCTCCAATTTCTGAAAAATCCTCTGTCTTATTTTTCAGCACAGCACATCTGAACTTTTTTCTTAACTCCCAGAGAATGTGCATGGCCAGAGTAGTCCCTCCACAACCTGGATGATGATACAGATGAATGATTTTGGCACATACTGGTTTAGAAGAATTTGTCCAGTTTAAAATAATTTCTTCAAGTTTTGCATATTTATCCCTTTTGACAAAGGGCGAGGAATAGTTTTCAGAAGAAAAGTAGAAGTTCCACCAAGACACTTTGCCACCCCGATAGAAGTCTTCTTCTTTTGATGTCTTGAATTTAAGTAATTTATCTTTGTCTTTCTCCAAGAGTGTACCTTCACATTCGTTTTCACAGAGAATTTCCAATGCAGTCATGATTTCTTCCTCCTTTTTCAAAAGAACAGTAGATGAACCAACAGATGGCAAAAATCTCCTTGAAGACTGAGTTAAAGATTTTAGTTTAAGAATAGTGCCATTTATCTCTTCAAGATTTAAAGTAGAAATACTTTGACTTGATAATTCATCTTGCTGTCTTGATAATCTTACTTCAAGTAGGTCTTTCCATACCTGGTATATGTGAGAATGTACACAAATACACAGTATATTTTCCGTTCCTTTGAGATCTTGGTAGAAAGCACAGAAAGTCTCAATAAGGGGATCTCTTGGGTCATCCACACAGGACAGTAATAAAAACACCACTAAAAACCTCCCTCTTGGCATTATGTCTTCATGTGTAAGAAATGAAATCAGCCTCCTGACTTCAGAAGCTCTTTCTCTTTGCCAGGAAATTGGATCTAAGGGTTTATATTTTTCACTGTTAAGGTCTAATCTTCCATTGCAGAAAACCCAGCTGGGTTGCTTGTAAAGATTCAGACTAGAAATCTTCTCATTCAGTGTGGTTTTTCCTTCTACAAATAGACTTGGAAAGTGAAGGTTTGCGACTCGGCTTCTTTTGAAAGCTTTGACCACGCCATTGCTCTCAGATTCAGGATCAAATTCTAACACAGCAAACCATTTAATTTCCTTTAGGAAATCTAAGTGCTTGATTTGACTGGGATGGCATTTATTTGTTACAAGTATGTACCAGTTATAGTATGAATTATCTAATAGATCTTGATACCCTGTCAACAATTCAATCAACTTTCGTCCCTCACTCTTGTTTTTATTTGGTTTTTCTTTGCATTTTTCTTCTGCTTCTTTTCTAGAGTCTGCCATTGTTTTTAAATTTAATTTAAAAGCTTTGAACTCAGCTTTATTTCCTATGATGTCCTTAGTTTGTGGTCCATCTCGCACAAAGACTGAGTATTTTGAGCTTTGTTGCCATGTCTTGTTGTCAAGTTTTTGCATTTTGATCTGAAAGTAGTCATGCCCACATTCAGAATATTGTGGAATAACATCTACTTCAATAACAAATCTGTCAGATGGTGTGCTATTTGGCAGTAAAACTTCCACAAATCTTGGCTCTCGAATGCACTTCTTTGCTTGTTGGACCTGATGGACCTCAAAATACTGATGTATCATCAGATCAAAGTGGTCTATTAGGGCCTCTTTGGTGACAGTGGTGACGTGCATGCCAACAATTTTTCCATGGGGTTTGTCTTTGACTCCAAAATGAATGGTGCCATTAGTGCGTGAATTCATACAAGCTGAAGCAAATCGGAAAATCTCATTGCTAAATTTCATCTTGATATCCTCTTCTTTGGCTGTTTCTGTATTTGTGAGGGCCTTGAATTCATGTACTGGATCAATGAGATTGAGTGGTCCTGTTTCAGGTTGTAGAATGAAATGTAATTTATAACGATATGGAGAACTGAATTCATCAAAAGGGTATGGAATACATGTTGGTTCTAGAGACTGCTTTTCCTGTAGCTCTTTTTCATCTTCCACCAGCCCATTTTTTACTGACTTAGAACCTTTAGCCTCTGGACTCACTGTAGAGGCATTAGCTTTATCTGAGTTCTCGGTACCCTTTTGGCTGTGTTTTGAAGTCTCTATACTTTCTGTCTGGTTCTTTGGAACACTTTTATTGCCCTTTTTCCTTTTAGATGTCTGAATAGGTTCTTCAGAGGATTTTTTCTGTAATTCTTTGAATAGCTCTTCTATTTGGATAGCTGGTCCATGTGTTATACCCATTTCAACAAGATGTTTTTTATTTAACCATTTCAAGATTGCTCCACTCACATCCTGTGCAATCAAGATTTCTCTGTGCTTTTGGTCAATCTTATGACTTTCTAACCACTGGTTAACGTCCTCTTTTGTCCAGTCATCTGTATTTTCTGGAAGGTTTAGTTTCTCTGCCATTCTGATAACTGTATAGAGAAAAAGAAAATGATTTCACATTTTACAAGTGAAAATTTAAAACATTCCTTTTTTTAAGTAGGCAAAATATGCATGTGTTGGACTGGAGAGATGGCTCAGTGGTTAAAAGAAATTGTTGCTCTTCCAAAGGACTTGAGCTCAATTCCTAGCAACCACATCGAGTGGCTCACAGCTGCCTATAACTACAGCTCCTGGGAGATCTGAGTCCTTTGGCTTCCTTTGTCACCTGCATATAGCCCCCACACATGTACACATCACTAAAAATAAAATAAGTTAAAATGCATGTGTTACAAAAAGTGAAAAGTTCCCACCACCAGTCTATTCCATATCATCCCAGAGAAATACTACAAAGCACAAATCTATAGCACTTTCTTTTCATATGAACTGTAACATTATGCACAATTGTCTATTCTTTTTTCTTTATTCACTAAATATATGCTGGGGATGCTTCCATTCATGTATCAACCTTTTCTAATGGTTGCTAACTGTAATGTGTGTTTGCTATATTCCTTAGTATATCCAAGTCTGGTACATAAAAGAAAATTGTGAAACTAAGTGTAGAACTAAGCATAATTTGTCAAACTTGTTACGATAGACATAGACAAACTAAATAGAGCATGTAAGTGCTAAGCCCAAGCATAGTTAGAAAGGAATAGAGCAATCAAACAGTATTTAAATATTCATGATATACACAAAAGACTTAAAATTTTGAGGTACTTGGGTTGCTCACTGGTAAGCCATTCTGATCTTTTGTGTTTTCTACTCAGAAAACATAAATCCAAGAGTAGCATATCAAGGTAATTGGTATATAGCTGTTGTCAGGCATAGTCACCTATTTACATCTTTGTGATTAGAGTGAGTATATGCTATTGACCTAGAACCTTATCAATTGCTGGATCCCACTGGACAGACCTTGACTCTGAGCATAGAGAAGTAAGATTTTATCATTTTAATCTAACTAGCAAAAGATCATTAGACAGCTGTAAGTTGCGTATCCATGGCACAATAGCTAGAAAAATCATCATAAAAGCTAAACAAGGGGCTGGAGAGATGGATCAGCAGTCAAGAGCACTGGCTACTCTTGCAGAGGACCTGGGTTTGAGTCCCAGCACCCACATGGTAGCTAATAACCATCCATAACTCCAGTTACGGGAGATCTGATGTCATCTTCTGACCTCCGAGGACATTGCATGACACGGGTGCACTTATATACTTGCAGGCAATACACTCATATACATAAAATAATAAAAAAGACTAAACAAAGTGATATGTTAAAAACATGCATGTACATGTAATTACAAAAAAGTCAAGTAACTCAAAAGAAGACAGAAAATAAGATAGACAAAGCACAAAACAAAAACGGAGCACAAAAGCAGAGTTGAGTGCTAACAGACCAATAGTCAGTCACTTTTAATATAAATGTCCTGTATACAGAAAGGAAAAGGACAGAATTGGTTGGATGGATTAAAAATATGAGTACACTGTATGCTATGTGACACTCAGCTGAAATATGATGTGAGATATGAGAGTAAAAGTATATACCCCACGTTGACCTTGAACTTGGGGCAATCCTCCTGCCTCAGCTCCTTGAGTGCTAAGGATTATAGGTATAAAGCCACAACAATTGACAGGAAGCAGTTACACATGCCCCTCATGCTGACTAGAACAGGAGCGTCTCAGTTTTCCAGAGGAAGCACTCTTCCTGAACCTATGGCTGTGCAGATTCCTACCTCAAAGTCAGCGCGGGGCTCAGACACTTGTTTCAAATTTTGTGATTTAGGGTTTGTTCAGTATTTTATTCTCTGGATTAAAAGCAGCATAGGTAAAACATTTTCTAAAAAGTATAGATAGAGCTATACCATTAAAATATTATTCAACAGATATAGAAGTAGCTATATTAACTACAGACAAAGTACTCATTGAAGCAAAGAAAATTACCAGAGACAGGGATATTATATAAGGCTAATTTGCAAAATATGTGATGTAAACATTGATAAAACTTTTAAATTTTAAACAAGTCCACAACTATAATTGGAATATAATACCTTTGCCTTAACAGTTGTTATAATAGCTAAACACAATAACAAACATGTAGAACTTAGCACTACCATCAATCAACGGGTCCTAGATCACATTTATAGAACACATTTATAGAAAACCAAAAACTATTATTTTATACATTCTAGATTTTCCATATCCTAAATTATAAAACAAACCAGTAAATTTAATATAATTGAAATCATACAGAATGTTTGCTAATCACAACATAATCTTTAAATTTTTTCATAAGTTCATTTTAGTGTGTGTGTGTGTGTGTGTGTGTGTGTATGTGTGTGTGTGTTGTATGGGTTTGTAAATAATCTCTCACCAATTGATCTGTATGGAAGCCTAATAAACTCTTTAGTTCCCCAAACTGTAGTTTAGAGAAATTATACCTAGTTTGTGGTAAGGGTGGTGGAAAGAGGGGGTCGGATGCTGTTTGCACCTCCAGAAGGAACACATGTGCCACCATGTGTTTGTGGAACTCAGAGGACAATTGTGGGAGTTAGTTCTTTCTTTTCAACATGTCGTTTTCTTAAGTTAGTTTTGTCAGCATTTTGTCACAACAACTAGATGAGTAATACACTTCCCACTTCATTTATGAAGCCAGTATTATTCTATGAAAAGTCAAGCAAAGACAGGATAGAATATAGAATTACAAATCTACATTTCATTAATATGGAAATTAAGTTCTTTAAAAAATGCTTTATTTGATATTTGTAATTTTATGTGTATGAGTGTACTGACTGCATATATATAAGTGCACCCATGTTGTGCAATGCCCCAAGACGTCAGAAGAGGGCGTAGGATCCCCTGGAACTGGAGTTTGGATGGTTATTAGCTGCCAGTGAATGCTAGGAATTGAACCTGGGGCTTTGGCAAGAGCAGCCAGTGCTCTTAACTGCTGAGCTCTCTCTCTAGCTCTGGAAATTAAAATTCTTAATATAATAATAGCAAGTATAACTTAGCTATCTAGAAGAGAATTATACAGCAGACCAATAAAAATTATTCCACAAATTCAAGATGATTTAATATACAAAAGCGAATTTGCAAAACCTGCTATGCTTACAGGCTACAGAAGAAAAAAATCACATAATCATGTCAATGGGTGCAGAAAGAACGTCTCACAAAATTCAACACATTTCATATTTTAAATTCTCAGAAAGCTAGGCGTAGAGTGTAATCCAATAAGGAGCATTTTCAAAGTCATATGGGTAATATAACTAATGGTAAAAGGCAATGCTTGCCCTCTAAGATTATGAAGAAAACTAAGATAGCAACACTTAATACTCTTACTTGATATAATGCTGGTTTCTAGCCAGAGCAATAAAGTGAGAGGAAAAAATAAAATTACATGGAAATAAGGCTTTCCCTGTTTTTCAGATTATATGATTGTCTGCATCAAAAATTCCAAGTAATAGGTGTTCTATACAGGGATTAAGTACTCTGTGGCCTCTTGTTCTCTGCACACTGGCCAATCATGGGTTTCCGTGTTAATCACCATCTACTGCATAAGGAAACTTCTGGTGAGAGTTAAGAGATACAGTCACCTATTTCAATCCTCTGCTTCCCAAGGCTCAGAGATCATTGAGGAAGAGGAGGCAGAAAGATTGTAAGAGCCAGAGGGCGTGGATAACCATAAAGAAACAGAATCCTCCAGACAGCTGTACGGTTGCTCATATGAACTCACAGAAATGGTGACAGCATGTGCAAGTCCTGAGCACAAGTTCAAATCAGACAGAATCCCAGCATAGACATGGGGAAGTCAAACTAAGGTACTTTTGGCAATTGATGGCTGCTGGGAGGGGGAGACACAGTGTCTTACAGGGATGAACTCTTGGTGGGCCCAGTGGATGGACCCACGGTGAGGGGCATTTGGGGACACAAATTGAACTCTGTAGGCCATACTACATATATAAGAGATTACATTAAATTGGGCGGGTGGTGGTGGGGGAAGGTGTGGAGAGGGGCAAGGATCTAAGTACCATTAAACTATATTGTATAAAAATCACAGAAATTCAATAAAAAAGAAAAAAATCCAAGTAATGTACAGGAATTCATAGGACTAACAAATGGTGCAGTAACTTTTCAGAAAACAAGACAAACATTACAAGATTGACTTTTCTTCTATATGTGAGTAATGAACATATAAACACAAAACTTAAAAATCGTGGGGGCTGGGGAGATGGCTCAGTGGTTAAGAGCACTGACTGCTCTTGCAGAGGACCTGGGTTCGATTCCCAGAACCCACATGGTGGCTATGAACTATCCTTAACTCCAGTTCCAGGGGAATCTGAAGCCCTCTTCTGACCTCTGCAGCACTGCACGACACGGGCGCACTCACAAACATGCAGGCAATACACTCATACACATAAGATAAAAATAATAAATAAAATATTTTTAAAAATCACTTCCATTTATAGTTATTTTTAAAAATCCTGAAATACATAGGTATAAATCTATTAAAGCATGCACTGAACTTCTATGTTGAAAATTACAGAGTATTGATGAAAGAAATCAAAGACTAAAATTAATGATGAGATATACTGTTCATGGGTTGGAAATTTCATAGTTAAGCTGTCAATAATACCCAAATCATTAAAGAAGGGTTTTGGGGCTGGTGAGATGACCCACCTAGTAAAAGCACCTGCTGTACAAGCCCAGTTACCTGAGTCTGATCCCTGGAATCTATGGTGGAAGGAGACAACCAACTCCAAAGAGCTGTTCTCTAACATTCACATGTGTGCTGTCACATGTATACACCCACACCCATATTCACACACACACATGCACACATATTTATTATTCTGTTGTAAATTTTCTTTATTATGTTTAAGTTCTCAATTATTATTATTTATTTACAATTTTACTTATGTACTGACCACTCTCACTGCCCATCTCTCTAGAACCCCTGTCCTTTCTTCTCCCCACAAATCTTTCATGTTCATGT